GGCGGCGGCGGCGGCGGGGGGTTGTAAGCTGTCATGCGAAGGGAATGTATACTCCTTTACCAAGCTATGGCTCGAATGTATACTCTTGTATCATCGAGGGAGTTGCAGAGCTTTGCGGGAGACGACGAGTGGGCTAGTACAGCAGTAGGGGTGTGCCGGTGTGTTGAGGATTTTTTGCAGCAGAGTGCGTACCATTTTGACGGTCTTGGCATGCTGCTGCAGCTCCGCGCACGGGTGTTACCTCGAGGGCGTCACACCCCTGCCATGCGAAGGGAATGCATACTCTTCCACCAAGCTGTGGCTCGCTCATGGAACGAACAAGTGCAATCCCTCGCACATTCATTGGCATTGTTGAATGTAGACTAATACTGCTGCTTCCATCATACTTGCACGGGCTACTTTCGAGAGTGTCGACACCGAGTGTGACACCTCGGCCAGCAGCGCCGTGCAGACGTAGTTGGAGAGGGACTGCGCTTCTTCATCATCTACAGCATCTGGTCAAATGTTGCAAACATAGTGTCCTCTCTACGGTACACACACGACGCGATTCGTTTGTGCACGCCGCAGCAGCGTACGACAGAGTTGCAGAGCACAGCGGAGACGACGAGGGGCAAGCAGCAGAGTACGTACCCTTTTTGCGATCTTTGCTTACTGCTCAACTCCGCGCACGTGTGCTACTTCGAGGGCGTGCTACTTCGAGGGTGTAACACCCCGTGAGCTTAGGTACATGTTCAGCAATATACTTGTAACAGTATACACATTGGTCTGTTCCTCTGGACAGAGGGCACCGATTGTCCAGCAGCGCTGACGTGCGTTAAGAAAAAAATACAGCGGGCGGTGGTTGTGAACTTCTCGACCAAATACAACAGCGCGCTGCAGCTTCTCACCGAACAGCATACAGACTTCACTTCAACAGCAGCCTATATCAGCCTACACACGTTGAGTTCCGCGGGTGGGCAATCCCTGCCCGCGACGTCTTTGGCTGAACACGGGAAGATGGAGGCGACTGTCTGCATGATGCTCTCGAACAACACGAAAGGGATGCGGAAGGTGCCGGCAAACTGCACAGCTTCTCGACATTCCGGGTCCAGTCCCTCCTCCGCAGCATTCAGCTCTCGCAGCTTCAGTACCCACTTCCCCCAGGTTGACCGCCAGTATTCCGGGCGAGGGTAGGAGCGCCGGATGTGCTTCTCGCGCTCCTCCTCCTCCTCCTACTCCACCAGCAGATCGCCGAACAAACCACCCGGTTCTTGGTCATTTTGCTCACCATCGGAGTCGAACGTGTGCCTAATGTTCTGCAAACTCGATGCTGCGGCAGCAGCCCCGGCCATTATGGACTCCTCATCCATGTTGGGCGTGGCCTTCTCGTCGGCGCGGCCTTCTCGTGCGTGTGCGTGTAGATGTATTCGAATGTTCGTGTGTGTTGGCAGCATATGTGCCGACAATGCGGCGCTACTTGCCTTTTCCGCCGCCCAAACATTTTCGCGACCTGCGACCTGCCCCGTTTCAAAATGTTTGTCAAACATTTTTTAAAACGAGCGACGTTCGCCCCATTTCAAAATCTTTGAGAATACGGAAGGCAAAAATAAANGACCTGCCCCGTTTCAAAATGTTTGTCAAACATTTTTTAAAACGAGCGACGTTCGCCCCATTTCAAAATCTTTGAGAATACGGAAGGCAAAAATAAATAAAATATTTTGCCGAATATTCCTCCCATAAAAAAGTGGAACGAAATCCATATCCGCAAATGTATAAAAAATTAGACATTTTTGCAAAGATTTGGCGACCATAAACAACATGGGTCTTAGACTTATTGCTTATAGATAGAGATGGGTTTGTTGTGTGTGGGTTGTTGTTGTTGTTTGTTTCTCACATTAGCTCTAAAAAAAAAAAAGATTGGGAGCCCGTGGTCTCAAAACCCGGCATACACGACCCCACGAAGAAACAGAAAAAA